CGAGCTGGCCTCGGAGAGTGCTCGGTCGAGGAACCCTTCAGCTCCAGAGACAATGCACTATTGCGAAATATGAGAGACTGGTCTTGGAGGGAGTTTGGGTCCTGCGACGATGCATGACCACCCTGCTCTGCGCTGGATCACCGGGGCCTTTATACTAGTTGAAACAACCGTTAGTGACGTAGTTTTAGAAGAAAATAGGGTTCACATGATAAGGGGGAGGGAACATAGCCAGTTCAACAGTTTTGGCCCCAATAAAATCTTTTACAGCAATGTGCAATTTGTGAAATCCAAATTTACAGATTACGTTTCGGATTTAGCCCCATTATCTAAAATAATATGGCGAACGTGGATACTTATATTGTGAGGTGTCACAGATCGAATAAGTACTGAATAAAAACGTTCCAAGAGTACGGGGTGTTCCAGATTTTCTGCCATGTTTTCCCAAGCTTTAATTTCCTAAGTGAAAGCCAAGGAATAGGATACGCGGTTTCCTCTCGATAGAAACAGCAGACAACATTCTTATAATGTGTTATAAGAGCAAACATGAATTACGATTGTAATAAAGCAATTATAAACCCCTTTTGCTATGAATGAAAAAATGAAAATGTGACAGGAAATCTGGGACACCCTTTATCATTACTAGACAAAGCCATGAAACGAATCAGGAATGGGGCCTATCAACTGCATCCCAATGCAACAGAGGAAAAGAAGGGCTATTGCGCTCAGAACGATGAGACGAAGTTTCCTGGATTACTATGTAATACGCATCCTTTCGAGTTCGGGTAGGAACGGGCATGGAACCCAATGACACCTCCAGCCGGCGCAGCGTCGAACCCACACCCGTCCACTTGCACGTGGCCTGGCGCCCTCGCAGTGTCCTGGCCTCCTCGAGATCCACATTCCACGCGGGTCTACTTCATTCAACAGAATTGCATCGTGATTCCTCCCAAATCGTTTATGTCGAGCAGAAACAGAAGTGGTTCCAGGACCGAGAACCTGAGGGACCCCGTTTGTGACACCGACTTCGGCCGATGCTTCCCCATTTAGCATTACTCGTTGGTCTCTTCCGGTCAACCGTCAACTGATCCACTCGCTCGTCCTACCCTAGATCTCGTGCGCCTCCAGTTTAACCCGCAAGCTCTTGTGATGGACGAAAGGTATCGAAAGGTTTAGCTAAATCTAAATAGACGATGTCCACTGGATTCCTCTCATCTCTCCCTTCCGTCTCACAATCGTCGAATACGAGCAAAAAAATGTCAAAATGAAAAAATGAAAAAATGAAAATGTGGCAGGAAATCTGGCACACCCTTTATCATTACTAGACCAAGCCATGAAACGAATCAGGAATGGGGCCTATCAACTGCATCCCAATGCAACAGAGGAAAAGAAGGGCTATTACTCTCAGAACGATGAGACCATGTTTCCTGGATTACTGCGCAAAACGCATCCTTTCGAGTTCCGGTTGGAAATGACATGGAACCCGACGCCATCTCCAGCCGGGACAGTGTCGAACCCACACCCGTCCACTTCCACTCCACGTGGCCTGACCTCCTCGAGATACACATTACACGCGGGGCTACTTCATTCAACAGAATTGCATCGTATTTCCTCCCAAATCGTTAATGCATTCGAGCAGAAACCGAAGTACTCCCAGGACCGAGCCCTGAGGGACACCGCTTGCGACACCGACTTCGGCCGACGCTTCACCATTTACCATTATTCGTTGTTCTCTTCCGGTCAGTCAGCTACTGATCCACTCGCTCGTCCTACCCGTCCAGTTTAACTCGCATCCTCTCGTGAGGGACGAAAGGTATCGAAAGCTTTCGCGAAATCTATATAGGTGTCGATGTCCACTGGATTACCCTCATCTCTCACTTCCGTCTCACAATCTTAGAATACGATCAAGTCGGTGAGACAATTACGACACATCCTAAAGCCGTGTTGAGAGTCCCGGATGAGCGCGTTTCCTTCGAGGAAATCCAAAATATGCTCCATTAGGATGCTCCCTCTGATCTTACCCAGGGTACTCGTGAGACTTATCTGCCTGTAATTTCCTGGATTGCTCTTTTTCGCCCTTCTTAACACGTTAACGACCAGCCTATTTTTGCTTGTCCGCCGCGTGGGACCACGCGCATTTTTTTTGTCAAAAAATGCGTCCTGCCATCAGGACTCATGGTCCCAGAAAACATTTTTTTTTTGCCGAGTTTTTTTTTATGTTGAATTTTTTGGAATTTTTATCAGTAATTACGAAATCATAATCTTCTGGAACGTTCTCAATAGTTCCGCTCGCATGTTCCTCAATGACACTAGCAGGAATCCCATCGGGGCCGGTCCCCTTGCCCACCGCGTAACTTCCCTATCATACCCACGAGTGTCTCCTCTGTGATGGAAACATCCTTGTTACGGTTGCACAATTCCGTGATGATTGTGTGATTAACGTCTATACCAATTCTGAAGGGCCTTGTATCCTTTCCAAAGTTTTACCCATTCATTGTGTCCCAAACGTTGGGAGACAAGGTTTTCGTAAGTCTAGTCGATATTTTCCATCAATGTCTCCATTTGTTGTTAAATTGATTCGTATTGAATAATTATTACGTAAAAAAACATGATATTTAAAATGTGATGCGAAACAAAGTATATTTACCAGCATACTAAACAGTATTTGTATTAAAATGCAATTTCCCTGAGTCCTAAATTTTGGGGCACCATGTTTATAAATGTAGTCTAATTTTTCTTATGGAGGCAGTACTTCGTGACCTCACTGTTCACTGCTTCAGCAACTATTGATACATCAGACCTTTGTAGACCATAGCCCGCTTCCATGCCAGATTATCAACTAATATTTGAGGCATTTATTGAATCTCGAATGTAATATCTCTGCAAAATTTTAATTTTTAATATTTAGTATTTTGCTTTTATTGCTAACAAATTGCATGCAACAATTTCATCATTTTATTTTTTATTAAAAAAATACCTCACCATCTTTCAACTTCTTGGCTAGGTCTACGTGATCCCACTTCTGCAAAGCCTCAACAAAAGAGGGGAAGGCACCGTCTCCACTTCGTGGCAGGCATTCCAAGAGAAACAGGACCTTTTCCTTGGAATCATTCATCTTCGCGACGGCGAGGTACTCCCTGTGAGTAACAATCTCTTTATCGCGTAGGTCGAGCAAAACCTTATCGAAATTGATGAACTCCAGCTCTTCCGAGAAAAAAGTGAGGACCTTTGCCTCACGGTCCCTCACGCTCTTCTTCGCTGTGAACACACGAGAGGCAACGAATTCCTCTGTAATAAGCAATCAGGAGATTCAGATGCGTTTGCGTTTCCTCACCCATTGACGACTCGTGGAAGAGATTTCTTGAGTTTCTCTTTGCAGGATGTCAACTAATCGTTCGCCACATCTTGGACCTTTAGAAGAATAACATCGTGCTGAGATGCAGTCCATGATTCCTATAGTCTGCTCATATTCTTTCACAGATGCTACAAGAAAATGAGCAAGGAATTGACCACGAACCAATATAACCGATGAGAGGCTTGTTCATACGATGAATTCTCATGTTGTAGTCAAATCCAGCAAAATGATGTTCTAGAAAGTGAATAAAAAATTAGGTTCCGTGCCTAATAAGCTTCATCGAATCAGGAGTCGAGCCACTGGTCTCCAACTACGAGCTACTGGTAATCCCGCGTGGTACTGCAAAACACTAAAATCACTACCTTGTAGGATGAGCCTTACCAATTTAGAGCAGATCCGACATCTGTTCTGAGCAAATGATCACTTTTCACTACACTGTGGGTGTACTACCCTACCGTTATGCAAGGTTGAGCTGGAATCTTCTCTAATATAATTTGGAATGAAGTTTACCTTAAGAGTTGAGTGTAGTCTGTAGCTCACTTACCTGACACCTCTTGTTTTATGTTATTGCGAGTTCAGTGGATGCACATCGCTAGGCTAGGGCGAATTGGGATATTGCGGACTAACGGCGTTCGGACATACGCGTTTTAGCTTTCATTTCGTCCAATTTCGGATGCAGAATGTCATTGCGCCTCACTCAGGTCACTGTGTCTAGGGACACGACGCGCTGGCAGGACGAATGGAAGAAGATAGCGGAGGAGGGGAGAGAGTGAGAGGCTATACTGACCTCATAGAAGATACACTTAGAAGAGGACTGTGCCTGTTATCTCGTGGGTACTCCATGAGTAATATCTCTCCTATCTCGAGTGTTGCTGGTTTTCTTTAAAATTCAACAGTTGTCAGGAACATCTATTACGGGAGAATGGAGAAGCTTTCTCCCTCACTTGCCTTGCAATAGAGTTTATCAACTTCGACCTGGGATCGGTTCGAGTTATGTTTTCTCGATAAGTCGATATGGAATCCCATTCTTCAAATGATGTCAACAGTAAAGAGCTTGCAGTTTCGATCTGTTACATATTTGGGAGCTTTCCGCGCAATCCGACAGAATGTGATTTCAAAGGGGGTTGACGAACACAAGGATTCGAATTCTGGGAACAAGAAGTTTATTTCTGAACCTGACATTCTTTGGGTTTGTAGAGGATTTCGATCAAAGCCACTTTTGAACTTTTAGGGGGAATCGTCCGAGAGGGACGAATCTTGGCGAAGCGTGTTGAAATGAAGTTGCTGTTGCACCTTCCATAGGCATCGTTTCGCGGGTCTCGCGGAAATGACCCTTCCGGGGAGCATCTATACAAACCCTCCTCGATTTCGGCACTCACAGGCAAGGCGGGTGAAGACGCGTGAGAGCGAGAGCGTGAAGGCGCGTGAAAGTGCGTGAACGTGGACGCATGCCTACACCAGCTTACAGCATCTCTCTTTTGGCCCGATAAGAGTTTGCCGCTCTCTCCCCCTCCGCGCGATTTCGTTAACAGTGGTATCCCAACTTGCAGACTAATACATTTTAGCTTGGCCCTGGTTTGTCAATTTGGCGATAAATACTCTGCTGTACAAGCTCAGTTCGGCCCGAACCGCCTCCTCTATTCATGTCTTTCTGCAGTATATCCAAATAAATGAATGGCCATGGGTTGAAAAGCCTGGCGTGCATGACGCGGACGCGTAGAAGCTGACTACTTTCCATCAACCAAGGCATTATTGACCTTGGTTGGAATATATTTATATTTATATGTTCATCAACGGAGACTATGCATTTTTGGCGAAAATCTTGTCCACCTAATGTTAATAGAAAGATAGTGGGCTGACGTAACCAATCAGGCTTGAGGTTATGCCTCTGTGGGACACTTTAAAAACAATTTTATTTGGGCAATATTCCTGATCTTAAAATGTATATGGGACTGTATATATACGAATATGGGACTGTAGCCTGCTCTCTCGGGTGCTCCTTTTTCCTTTTGAGATTCCTGCAGGGGACTCCTAAATCATCATAATTAACTATTGAGCCCATCTAATTGTAATCATTTTCTCTTCCTTAGGCTTAAGGTCGTTCTTTTGTCGTTCTTGTTAAGTCTTGTATCCGTTTTGGAATCTTAATAACTCTTGTAATTAATCTGGTTTCCTGGCCTCATGAGTAAGGGCTTGAGACCTATGACTTCAATAATCCAAAACTCATTCTTGCGCCACTTTGATGTCAACCACACTTGAAGTCTATCTTCTAAATTCCTTGTAATGACAAAGCCTCCAGTAACATTGCTGAACTCTTTCTCTAAGCACTAACTAGATATCATGTTCACCATTACACTATGATGTAGAATGGAGAGAATTGTCACTAATAGGAAAATCCAATATGCACAAAGAAAGGAATGTTCAAAGGTTGTTCAAAGAAAGGGATTCTAACTCATTCTAAATGGGGTACCGAGCCATGAAAGAACCTGAAAGAACACTTTCATCACTGCCTCAATATCCAGAAAAAAAGGCAGCTGGAAATATCAATAGGTATTATTGGTGAATGGGGGACCGAGCTTGGAATAGGACAGAAATAGGAGTTGGCTTCCTCTTTATTGTTGATATTTGATCTCATCACAAGTCCCTTTCCATCGATAGATGACTTCTCCAGAACATATTTAAAAGACTTCAATTTTAGCTCATTCATAGTCATAGTCATTCTGAGAGCTTGGGGGGTGGGGGGAGGCATGCGAGTGTCGGCATTAAGTTACTGTAGCACACGCACCATGCGGAAAAAGCATGGACCAAAGCGCGTGAGGGATGAGGCATGCGCAATCACATCTCTGGTTCCCTGCACTCGCCTCTTGCATGCAGGGGAGGCTGGTGCCGAAATCGCGGAGGGTTCACGCGCTTTCACGCTCCCGCTCTCACGCTTCTTCACCCGCCATGCACGTGAAAAAACCACATATACAAACAAAAACAATATACAAACCCTCCTCGCCGAAATCGAGGAGGGTTTGTATATATGCTTCCGGGGACCGAAATGGCGAGGTTACAAAGGCGGGGGAAAAGAAAAAAAAACCCTACAGACAATCCGGACTACTGACGAGTTGCTGAGAGATTGGGGCTAGCGAACTGTCAGCAGAAACAGGTGCCAACTACTCTGCATGGCTAGGTCCAAGGTGAGATGTCCAGCGACTGGAGCTGACGAACTACCTACGCGGACACTTGAGACTAGTTGTCGAGCACTCGGGCTTTCGACGAACTGCTTCGAGTCGCGTCCTCTTTTAACGAGCTGGCCTCGGAGAGTGCTCGGTCGAGGAACCCTTCAGCTCCAGAGACAATGCACTATTGCGAAATATGAGAGACTGGTCTTGGAGGGAGTTTGGGTCCTGCGACGATGCATGACCACCCTGCTCTGCGCTGGATCACCGGGGCCTTTATACTAGTTGAAACAACCGTTAGTGACGTAGTTTTAGAAGAAAATAGGGTTCACATGATAAGGGGGAGGGAACATAGCCAGTTCAACAGTTTTGGCCCCAATAAAATCTTTTACAGCAATGTGCAATTTGTGAAATCCAAATTTACAGATTACGTTTCGGATTTAGCCCCATTATCTAAAATAATATGGCGAACGTGGATACTTATATTGTGAGGTGTCACAGATCGAATAAGTACTGAATAAAAACGTTCCAAGAGTACGGGGTGTTCCAGATTTTCTGCCATGTTTTCCCAAGCTTTAATTTCCTAAGTGAAAGCCAAGGAATAGGATACGCGGTTTCCTCTCGATAGAAACAGCAGACAACATTCTTATAATGTGTTATAAGAGCAAACATGAATTACGATTGTAATAAAGCAATTATAAACCCCTTTTGCTATGAATGAAAAAATGAAAATGTGACAGGAAATCTGGGACACCCTTTATCATTACTAGACAAAGCCATGAAACGAATCAGGAATGGGGCCTATCAACTGCATCCCAATGCAACAGAGGAAAAGAAGGGCTATTGCGCTCAGAACGATGAGACGAAGTTTCCTGGATTACTATGTAATACGCATCCTTTNTCAGGACGCATTGTCGCCAACGTGTTAAAGATCGGTACGACGTTTGCTAGTCTCCAGTCCTTAGGTACTTCACCGCGCAAAAAGTTGCTTTCAAATATCATTCTTATCGGAACCGATACTTCGCTCGCATGTTCCTCAATGACACTAGCAGGAATCCCATCGGGGCCGGTCCCCTTGCCCACCGCGTAACTTCCCTATCATACCCACGAGTGTCTCCTCTGTGATGGAAACATCCTTGATGAGCGCCGATGTCACCTCCTCCAAAGCCGGTGCCGAGTCGGATTCCAGAGTGAAAAAGGGAGCGAACAACTCGTTCAATATCCCAGCCTTATCTTTGTTACTTGCAAGTCGACTCCCCCCTGTCGTTTATTAGTGACCCGATCGATTGTTGACACCTATCGGTAGCATATCGATAAAAAGCCTTGGGGTTCTTAGCATCGCCAGCCAGCCGTTCTTGGAATCCCGTCTCGCAGAACTCATTTCCCGCTTCAACGACCTCCCACGGGACTCTCAACACGGCTTTAGGAGGCGTCGAAATTGTCTCACCAATTTGCTCGAATTCTACGACTGGGCGACGGAAGAGAGGGATGAAGGGAATCCTGTGGACATCGTCTATTTAGATTTCGCGAAAGCTTTCGATACCGTTCCTCACAAGAGGTTGCGGGTTAAACTGGAGGCGCACGGGATCCAGGGTAGGACGAGAGAGTGGATAGGTAGCTGGTTGGCAGGACGAGAGCAATCCCTGGATAGTGAGCATGTATAATAGACGTTCTTTGCAATTCATGGGCGTATCAATGGCCTCATCACACTCCAGAAAATCCGATTTCGGATCGCCGGATCATTCCGATTCCTCTCGTTTCTCCGTGTTTCTTTTTTTCCTTACTGTTGCAATTAAAATTGTTTCGCTTCCGAATCCTTCACGAGCCATATGGGGAAATTGGACGAATTGTCGCATCATTTTAGGACGTGTCCGATTCTGACTCACGCGAAGTATTTGGTATGAAATACTCCATACTCTAGTCCCATCTCCGCGCGAAGCATCAGAACATTTTCTATTTGTCTAGGACTTTTCATGTGGGTCTGAGAAGTACGCAAGGCATATATTAACGTCAAATCAGGATGGATGGGATGAGGCGAAGATAACTTCACCACCGGAGTTGGAATGATGGTCGATATTGCGGGAGTCGTCATTCCATCCGAATATAACATTTAGATTCAAATATCGAAGCAACGAGGTCCAAAAAACCCTCCAAAAGAGGGATATGATGTCATAAGCTTCTAAAAAAAAAATTGATAAATACCATGACAAATGTAAGTCGTACTTCCGCACGGGGAATGAGGAGCTTCATGATCCTAATCGGTAAAGGTCTCTAGGCAAGGACCTCTGCCCAAGCCTTCTCAATCTCATAACGAGAAAGTCACTACCTTTGTCGCGTATGCTGAATAATGGAATTGACACAGATGGTAAATCTGGAATTTCGCCTCTGTCAACGAGACTTGAATATTAGGGAAAAGACGAACGGGTTCTCCGACTGCCCGCGCCTGACATCTGGTGGAGGCTGCAGGAATTTGTTTGACAAAGACGTAGCGTTGGAATTTTACCGTCCTGCGGTGTTCAGGCCGATTCTCTCCCAGAAAAGTTCGGCGAAATTTCCTTTCGTGCTGAATGACCAGTTTTAAGGCGTATTCGCAAATTCACTAGCTGCAGCTGTCCCTTTTTATACGCTGTTTTACGCAGCAAAAAAAGCAGATACATTTTTCGTAAGAGATTCTTTCGTGACGAGTTTGTAGAGCAGATGTGTAAAGAAAAATAAGATGAATAGCACAAATAGGGAAGTTCTAGCTCCTAGGATGATTTCGCCCTGTCGCATTTCTTGCGCTTAGAGGATTTTATGGAGATACCAGTATTACAATTAATGGTGGACGGAATTTGATGGGGACGTTAAGTCAAGAGCATCCCTTCCCAATTGCAAAAGAAATGCTATTAAAGGAGAAATAGGATTAGAGCAGAATCAGCGAGACTCTCAAGGGCACCACTTACTTGTTAGATTGATTGGAAACGGTGACTTATGCCCGAATAGAAGTCTGCGAGACAGACAGTATTTTGATAATCGACCCTCGGCGCATTTTGCTCCTCCAGGGACGAACGCGAAGCCCTTACGGTTGGGAAGGGAAACGAGGGGACTCCGACGCGATTCGCATCCGAGACACAATTTCGAGTGCGAGGCGATAACGTTACCCTCAGAAGCCCTCAGGTAGGAAGTCGATGCAAGGAATCGAGAGAAACTATGGGCATGAAGTCGGTGGTGCGACCCTGAGCCGGGAATAGAAAGATGAAGGTTAACTTGCATTAGGAATGATAAGAATCACTGACATGTCCATTTTACTTATAGATCGAATTGTTCCACTCGAAACTAATTACTGAGCTCCACAGGAGGGGAGGGGGGGGGGGGGTTAAGGGCAAATATTATTCCTATGTTCGGAGTGGATTTGCTAAGTTGATACATAAAAAGAAGTTGAAAAATAAAGATTTGGCTTGTCACCAAATCGGGTTTATTTATCGGGTTCATCATGGTCTCACTGTTCTTTCAAATTGCTATTATCCACATCAGAGAGACAATACGTTCTAGGAATGCATGTTAGATGACGCCTGAACGCCGATTCAGCGACTTTTTTCTCACAGGGTGATGTTCAATTCAAGGTACCTGAGTAAATCTCCATTTCAAATTAAGGGATTCAGAGAAAGAAAAGATGTATTTACAGAAAAAAAACCACGAAATTTCAAATAATGAAAATAAACAAACCCAAAACGGCATGAAACAATAATTCCAGAAGTAAAGATTGGAATATCATATGGTACCGAGGGGCACTTCCACATACTCTCATCCTCCCCTCAAATTGTAGATCAGAAAAGGAAACTTGCAGAAGAGGTTCTGCAATGAAAAGCCTTTGACCAAACCTAGTCGCCTAGTGACCCAAAATATAGCTAGTCCGTTGTTTACCCCATTAAAACTTTACTTATTAGTCCCCTGACACGAGGGCAACTAAAGTGGACTTCTTGAGGCAAGGGGGACAAAAGTATGCGCATTAAGTCTCTGAAGCAGCAATGCAAGAAAAGGAAATCATTTGCCACTTCTTTGAAATAGTTCAAAAGCAAAAGAAAGGAAACAAAACGTTTACTGTTTATTATCGGAAATGACCCTAAGTGAGATTTCAAGCTGAAATTGTAGCCGAGGAAAAAATTGGGGGGTGGGGGGGGGGGGTGTATTGTGTAGCAAGGAAGATAACTGGGAAGGTGCACAAACAAAGCAGATTCTATTTTTGGCTTTTGATAAATACGATGTTGCAGTGGACAAGAGTTTAATATCTATGAAAACTAAACATATATTATTGATAAGGTGATGTTCGGGACGAATCACGGTGATAAAGTTTTAATCAACTCGATTCAAGCAATAATTTTTCCCTTCTCGCAACATGGGAGCAAACTTTGCCAAAGACCGTGTCACCCTTGGCGATGTCAACTTATGTCGCCCACATTCTGTAAGTGGCTACCTTGTCTGGGGAAGTTCAAGGTCTAGCATGGGAAGCAGCAGGGAACATCAAGTTGTCCTATTGGAACCAGCGGCAAATGGAAGCTGAACCGTTTTTAACTATAAGAAACTGATGTAGCTCTTGAGCGAAACTGGAGAAAAACTGTCAAAACGAAACTTCAGGTATAGTTGCTACCAGTTATCAATCTAATGTTATCAAGCTCGATAGAATTCCCGTTAAGACAAGGAAAAAAATCAACAATACCACCTCAATATAAACATACATAAATAGACAAAACACTTGAAGTGATCTGAATGTTGTCCCGTGGTTGCCATCAAACTTGGACTGGTGCTTGCAGCAAAAGGTACCATTTACCGTACCATTACAAGTGTAGAAGTGTCTGTGCACTTGGTTTTAATTTAATTTAACAGTTTTAATTGCCCAACGTGACCTTGTCGTATGACATGTTAATAGAGTTAGAGGAGGTTAGGGTTGGTTATTAAGGTGAGGGGTTAGAACTAAAACCAAGTTAGCTAAGGATGGTTAGAACAGACAAGGTCACGGTGAGTTGGGTCAAAGGCAACTAGAAAAATTTGGTCTCGGTTCAAGCTTATTTTATTTGTATATATTGAGGCTAGGTATCAAAGTTTCCTCACTTTTATTCACTATACTTTTGCTTCGAAGTATTTATATATATTAATTACATATCAAGACGCCAATTTAATATAGTTCATTTGTGAGGCCTTGATAGGCTCAAGAAACGAAACAGAATGAAGTGGGCAGTAAGCCAATCAATGAGTATAAAAAATCCGAAATTTTGTGAAGCAACCAGTTTCACATAATGCTAACAAGCCTGAAAGCTCAACTTGATTGAAACTTGAGTCAAGAAATGTATTTTTTTTTCTTTAAAATGTTCCTTCACTATAGAAGGCCTTTGCACTCTTAAGGCTCTTCGACTATTCTATGAATAATTTCACCAAAATACCTGCAAGATGGGGTTGTGTTGAGCTTCAGAATTCCATCTCGCCATGAGGAAAATTATTTTACAAGCATTTTTCCAACACGGTCGAGCATTTGCAATACTTCGCCTTCAAATTGGCGGTCAAACATGCAGACCAGAGGAAGCAAAACGGGTGATTTTGAGCAGTCATTGACAACATGAATATAGGTATCACACCCAATGAACGCTTATAAAGTCTTTGGTGAAGGCTCCTAAATTCACATGTTAAGTGTCTCCGTGGGTACAGGCATAACCTCTTCGTTCCTTTGGATCCGATTCGTAGGAGTAGTTCCGTCACAAACATGGGACGTGTGGAAGTTCTGCCTCCCATGGTGATGTGGTGCCAGGCCATGTCTGCAAGCGGAACTGCTGACTACCAAGGTCATCTCTTCAAGCTTCTGGAATCGTCTCTCGATTGACGTAATCCACCTGTTTCAAAAACAAGTATATGCATAAGTAATACTGATGAAAACCAGTTGATACATTTTCACATATTTGTCCAGTAATTAACTCTGAACACTGAATTACTCCATGGTGACTTCATTTCTCAAAGTTCCAAGTTCGACAATGGAAGAATAATTTTTCAGCATATTTGTCCGCGCAAACATGGAAAAGATTCATAACCTCATACGCTGAAAACTATGCAAATTAGTATTTTAAAAAAGTATGGACCTCATTCCATTGGGACCGAAAATGTTCAAAATTGAAATAAAGGGGGTAAAAAGGAGCTCTTGGTTGACCTATGAGGGTTGATGTACAGGGTTAATTAAAAGTCACAACGACTTTGAACAGCTAGAACTCGGCAGGAATGCATTCATTTGAAAACGATTTTTGGCACATGAAAGTCCGTTAATTGACTAAACAGAGGAATTCCTATGGAATACCTTTGACTGTTGAGTATACTCGGAACGAAAAGCAACATTTTTGCTGCTCCAAATTGGTGCTTGATAATGCCCAATGCCCTTTCTTGGGAGAAGGTCGCCGTCGTACATTAGCTCTCTATTGGCGGAGGAAACCTTTCTGATTGATGAGTCGTTTAACCTCAAAGACAGGGGGATAGGTCGGCGCAAACCTATACATTAGGCACCCAGGTCTCTGGACCAGACTCCACTCGACATCTGGATGTGGGTTTTTATTGAAAACTAGGCATTAGCCGAAAATCCGCGCACGATCTATGACCTAAAGCAACGCGTCAATGAGAAAATTGCTGGAGTCGACTTCGACATGTATTTAACTATCTGCCAATCGAGGACGACTCGCTTTCGCCGAGTGATCAAGCTTAATGATGCCCAATACCACGGCAATGCATTATAGTCACTTCTAGGTCAAGAACATTGACTTTATAACGTTCCATTTGGGTGAATTAGCGAATGCTCTTTGCAAATTTATTACCTCCTTTTGTGCCTGGAAAAGTCGCCTTTGACTCACCCTGTAGATTCCTTGGAACCATACTACAAAATATTTTAACAGAAAACGTAACATTCATTACTACAAACGAATGGCAGCAAGAAACCATTGCCATTTGGTACTGGAAAAAAAGTACTTCAGAAGCAATGTAGTATATTGCAAATGTACTCGCAGTGACAGTGCTCGCACAAACTAAACACAAACAAAAGAACCTATAGTTTTGTTTCCAATTGTAAGGATTAAAAACACAATCATCCATTACTTGTTGCCTTTGAGATGACGCATGTTCGGGCCATTGTTTCCGGTATACTTGGAAAATGCTGTGAGGTGAGGCGATGGAGAAGGCCCCTGAAAAAAGGCCTCTCTCGCCCAACACCTGGAATAGAAACAGTGCATTTAACATAATTCATTTACGATAACCTCATCAATGAGCCTCATCCACAAAGAATGGGAACTCGCGAAAAAAAATAACCATTTTTGGTGGAAAAGTCCTTCATGCTTTATTCATCACTTGTGTCACCTCCGAGTCGCTGGCCATCACATTCCACCCTAAGGAGCCGCGGCACAATCCTTTGGGGCGATGTCCACCAGGTTGTCCATGTGAGGAGCCCATGGAGCTGGGTTACGGATTAGAGGAGCGGTCGGTGGAGCGGCTGGAAATGGAGTAGTTGGAGCAAGTGGACCGGAGCGAATGAAGAGGCCATCTTGGTCCTGCCACCCAGGCAATGGTATCTGTCTGCTATTCCGGCACAAGTGACACGTGCCTAAACCGACCGGGCAACGGAGGTAAATCAACGAAAATGTACGAATTGAAAGAAAAATGAACCTCAAAGAATAAAATATCAAGGTAGTAGTAATGAACTTGAGTGGCAATGAAGAACAACTTTCACTCACCACCTTGAAGCTGCAGCAAAGGCGCTTCCCTCTCCCCCTCTCTATCACTCTGGGAGGAAACTCTTCGTGAACCAGGGAGCAAACTCTAAGACCTTGTGACATTTTGCCACGTCAACACATGTCACCCACATTCTGTAATCTTCAAACTTTGCTAGGGAAGCTCAGGGTCTTGTATGGGAAGCAGCAGGGAATATCAAGTCGTCCAATTGAAATCAGCGGCAAATGGGGAAACTGAACTACTTTTCGACTATAAGACTAACCTCAGGACTACCCATGAAACCTAAGTCCTGTCCCTCTCAACTCAATCTAGCGAAAATCCAATATCCCAAAAAAATTCAACAAGGAATCCGATGACAATTTCCCAATTAAATTAGTACTTCATTCAAAGATCAACCAAAATCAAATTCTAGTAGCTCTTGAACGAAATTGAAGAACGACTGCTTATATAAAGCTTATGTAAAGCTGCTTCAATTATAGTTGATGCCATGCATCGAACAATTTAACTCGATGGAAGACTTGTAATAGAAAACAGAGCACACTATCTTCAGCAATACCTCCTCAATATATACGTATATAAATGAAGTTAAAAACGTTTGAACAGATTTGAATGCTGTCCTGTGGTTGCCTTTAAACTTAGAATGGTGCATGCAACAAAAGGCACCATTTACTGTTACGTTACTAGAGTGGAAGTTGTCACTTCAATCTCAGTTCTAATTGAACCAACGTGACCTTGTCGTGACTTTTAATAGAGTTAGACGAGGTTATGGTGGGTTAGTAAGGTCAGGGGTAACTAAAACCACGTTAGCTAAAAATGGTTAGAGTTGACAAGGCCACGTTAAGTTAGGTCAAAGGCAACAAGAAAAAATTGATCTCAGTTCAAACTTTATTTGTATATATTGAGGTAAGGTATCAGCTTCTTCGCTTTTAATCAAAAGTCTTCTGCTTTGAATCATTTAAAAATTGGTATATTTAGACGCCAATTTAATATAATTAATTTTTGATACCGAACTAACCTCAACAAACGAAACAAGTTAAAATGAGACTAAGCTAATCAAAGTTGACTACGCCAACACGCCTGAGAGCTCAGAACTCTGCACTTCAAGATGTCCATACAGACCCCACTGCTGCCATTCAGCTTCGGGTTATTGTTGACGGGCCGCAAGGAGCTTCTCTTCGGTCCGGGAATTCTTCATTTTAGAACTCCCCTTCAAGTGTCTGGAGCACACCCTGCAGCAGCAAAAAAAAACAATTATGGAGATGGATTTCTATGCGTACATTTCCTCTCATGAAACAGGAAACTGGTAGGAAAAATAACGTCAATTGATACTTGCCATTAAAAAAATAAATACATGTAAATGTGCATTTCTGCACTAATGATTGCGTGGACAATGCATATATATATGAAGATGTCAACTTCCTCTCACGCAAACTTGAATATGCGAGAGGGTTATCTGATTTGAAGGAATTGTTACAATTTCAGGATAAGGAAGGGACAGGAAAAAGGACCAATATTTTACCATGTCACACCTATTAATCAGATGTTTGATGTCGAATTTTCAGCAATGGAACGCAATTAACCTGAATTTGGTGCCTCTTGGAAGATGACAATTGCTACGCGAGGACTTCCAGTAGGCTTGAATATACTAGGTGGAGAGGCGATGGAGAGGGAATCTGCCGCTTCAAGAATGTCCTACTCACCCAACACCTGGAATGGAATCGATGCGTTTCACTTCGTTCATTTAAGAGAACCTCATCCATGAGCAGATGAAAATTGGTTTCTTGCCACAATTACAAATGTTCTGAAAAAGTTCCCTCTATGTTGAGGCGGAGTGGTTTGGACATCGGTGCCGAATCAGGGTCGCCAGTCATCGTGCCTCCCCAGAGACCCTCAGTCCGATCTCCTTGGGGGAAATCAGTCATGTCCACTCAGTTGTCCCAGATCGGGCGAGGAGCCCTGTTACGGGTTGGGGGAGTCGTCCATGAAACAGCTAGTGATGGAACAGCTGGAGCAACAAGGGGGAATAAAGCAACCGGAAGAAAACCAGGGATATTAAATATTCTTACCATTTAGAAATTTGATAAATTCTGCACACGAGTATGTCCACGCCAAGTGGTCCCATAATTTTAGCCCGAAGTTTTAAGTATACAATATTACATTCGCTGTAATTCATTTTTTTTCCCAGAAGACATTAATAAAAGATTATTACATAGGAAAATGTAACGAATTACTCATGATATATTATTCATACCAATCTCATGATACTGAAAAATGCAACCCTAGTTTCCGTATGACAGGGCACCAGCCCATTTTAGTTATTTCGTTTGTCAGCTTTTGGAGAACACCTTTCCTAGACGATGGATCGGTCGACACAGGGCTATCGAATGGAATCCCCCAGATCTAACCCCCATCCAACCCCAAAGCAGTGGGAGGGGATAGGAAATTTTCAAGGTTCAATTCCGTGGAATTGGAAAGAGGAAGCCTAATGTGTATGCAACCCAGTGGACCTTATGGCATAGTGTGAGCTCCAGAAACAGGCTGCAAAATATTCCCTATGTTGCGTTTGAAGACGAACACCCTCTATGTACGGACTTCGTTTTCGTTTAAAATACATTTTCTAAACATGTCACATTCGACACCGTCACAAAATAGGCTAACATTCCGTTTCAAGTGTTGACATTTAGGGTGACTCACACCAATTTCAAGCGTTCATCCAATCTATTGAATGAACATGAAACTATAGTCGAGTCACTAGGAATATGGGCAGTGGGCAGTAGATGGAAAAGAAAAATGACGCCATTTAGGGTCTCCCCGGTCTATGTCGGCGGATTAAGTCCTACCGTCAAGGACATGACATTCTGACACGGCTGCCACATGGGTCTTCCCTTCAGAAGTGAGTATATACATTTTCTTGCAGCCTTCACGATCTCCTCATTCAAGAAGTTTAGCCATGTGGCGTCTCTGTGTTAATCCTGAGAGGTCAACCACGCCTGCTCACATATAGCATTCTTGCTGTTCTTTGATGAAAAAAGCTGCCTATGGAAACCCTATTTTTCCAAGATTGAGATTGGGGGAAAGGGCTGTCAACGAGCTGACGTTTCATGCTATCTAATGGGGTGACCTGTCAAATTAGCCGACAAACTCGCCATATTCCCAGTGAATTGACTATATATTATCAGGATCCGCTCCATGACATAACATTAGTGCAAGAGACTAACTGAAGGTTCACGAAATGTCACGTCTAACAATTTTCCTTATACATAGGCACACCTAACGTAAGAGGGCACGACTTTAAATTATGGAATTCTCAGCCTCCACCCAAAGTGAATTGTCACAGCCTTCATATGCTGATTCATCACCCATTATATAAATGCATTTTGTACACTAAAAATATTACCTCGACCACTTCCGACACCATGGACAGACCCACATCTCAAATTGTGTCACCCTATTTGCTCCAAAAATTATCAGAATCCTCCACCTACAATGAAATTGAAAATTCAGCAAAAAGAACTTTTCTTACAACCACCCAGTGTTTTTATTTCTTCGGGTAATAGCAATACCTATTTCCTTTGCCCTGAAGATCCTCCAGACGTTCAACTACCGTTTAAAATAATAAACAATTTCCGAACATTAAAGGATCAGATTCAGAGAGGTTCCGCTCGGGCTGTTTTTTTTTTCCAGTTCGATTGCGGGCATAATTTAAGGATTTTATATTAAATTCCATCACGGACTGAAAAATTCTTCGCTCATGTAATGCCTAAGTCTCCGTCCAACATCCAAAAGGGACGACAACGTACGAGGTGGATCGAACTTTTCAAATGAGTGGCTATTCCTTCTACGCAAAACGGAAAATATTTCGGCTGCTCCAAATTGGCTGCACGATCATGCCCCATACACATTAAGAGGAGAACATTAAGAGGAATCCTTTATTTGAGGCGTCGTTTTACTTAAAGAACAGGCAGTTCGGTCGGTGCAGGCCAATACATTCGGCAACCTGGTCGCCGGACAAGGCTCCACTCGACTACCGGCTGTGGGTTTTCAGTGAAGACTTGGTATTTGCCCAAAATCCGCGCACGATCAGGGGGTGTCAGGGTGAGCAGGGGTGTCAAACTGGCGGCCTGCGAAGTCCTCTTCAATAGTTACGGAAACGAACTGCAAATTGCAGCCTGTTTGCATTAAAGATAAGGTATTGCAATTTCGTCGTAATCACCTCCATCCCAATCCGGCCCCAGTCCAATCGAGTTTCTTTTTTTTTCAACGTTCTATTTAGGTGAATTAGCGTACGCTCTTTCCAATGAAAAAATAGGTAGCAATGCCTTCCTGCCGAGTTATAGCTATTCAAAGACGCTTTTGACTCACCCTGTAAATCCCTTGGAACCATTAGAATACAACAGTTCATAACAGAAAACTTTCTTGCTGCAGACGAACAGCAGCATGAAACCGTTGAAACTTTGTATAGGAAAAAAGTACTTTTGTAGCAACATAGTATGTAGAAAATGTAGTAGCATTGACATACAGCTCACACAAAACTATAAATATTTTTCAACAACCTAGTATCGATTGGTAAGAATTAAAAGAAATTACAGGAACAAAATTAACCTGAACTTGTTGCCTTTGCGGAGATGACACGTTCGGCAAGACGTTCCGGTGCACTTGGAGATGCTGAACGGGGAGCGAGCCGATGGAGAAGGGGGCTACTGCCGGAAAAAGACCGCCTCTCTCACCCAACACCTGCAATAGAATTTGTGTATTTTACTGGTGTTCATTTACGATAATCTCATCCATGAGCCTCAAAAAAATAGATCCTTAATAAATAAAAAAACATTTTTGGTAGCAAAGTCCCCTTCTCTGCTGTGACACCGGGGCTAAATCAGAGTCGCTGACCATCATACCTTCCCAGATTCATTAGCACTCTCCTTTGGGGGGACGCCAGTCACGTCCATCCAGTTGTCCCAGATCAAGTGAGGCCGTGGAGCTGGGTTACAGACTGTGGGAATGGTCCGTGGAGCCGCTGGCAATGGAGTAGTTGGAGTAAGTGGACTCGTAGCCGATGCAGAGTCAATCTGGCAACAGTAGTAAAAATTAAAAAATGTAAGAATGAAAAAAAAGATATGACAGGAATTGTGACATTTAGTTGCCACTAAGCCCAACTTGGACTCACCGCGCTAACGCTGCAGGAGAGGCGCTTTCCCTCTCTCTCTCTGGTAGAAAACTTTTCAATTACGGAGCAAACTCTGCCAAACATATTGTGACCTTTTGCCACGTCAACTCATGTCACCCACATTCTGAAAATGGCTACCTTGACTGGGGAAGCTCAGAGTCTTGCATGGGAAGCAGCAGGGAACATCAAGTCGTGCAATTGGAACCAGCGGCATATGGTGGAAACTGAACAGCTTTACACGATTGGACTAACTTCACAACTTCCCATGAAACTGAAGTCCTGTCCCTCTCTACTCAATGTAGCGGAAATTCGACGTCAAAAAAATCCAAGGTATCGTGTCAATTTTCCAACTAAATTAGTACTCAACTCCCACATGAAAAGAAACATATCAAGGTCCAATAACCCTTGAAGAGCGAAGTTGTAGATATACTGCTAATACGAAAAAGCAATTAGAGTTCATGGCATGCAACAATCTAAAGCAATTATTTACCTCGATGGAAGACATGTAATTCAACAAAATAAAACACTGCAATCTTCAACAATACCTCCTCAATATATACATATAAAAACAAAATATATAATTCGTTCAAACTGATCTAAATGTTGTCCCGGGGTTGCCATCAAACTTGGAAAGGTGGTTGCGACAAACGGTACCATTTTTCGTACCATTAAAATTGTGGAACTTTTAATTCCTTCAATCGAAGACCTAATTGCCCAACGCGACCTTGTCCTGTGACATTTTAATGGAGTTAGTCGAGGTTAAGGTTGGTTAAGGTGATTGGTTAGAACTAAAGCCACGTTAGCTAAGGATGGTTAGAGTAGACAAGGCCACGTTAGGTTAGGTCAAAGGCAACTAGAAAAAGATTCTCAGTTCAAGCTTACTTTATTTGTATATATTGAGGTTAGGTATCAGTTTCATCGCTTCTAATCAAGACATTTGCTTCGAAGTATCTAAATACTGGTATATTAATTATATATTTCGACGCCAACTTAATAGTTAACCTTTACGGTCGAAATTGGCTCCACAAACGAAACAGGCTAAAGTGAGGCAGCAAGCTGATCTATGGAAAAATCCGAAATTCTCAGAAGCAACCAGCTCCAGACTATCCTGAGAGCTCAGAGCTCTCCTACTGTTCCTACTGACCCTCCTGGTGCCATTCAGCTACGGGCTCTAGTTGTCGGATCGCATGAGCCGCTTCTCCTGGGTCCAGAGGGCCCTCATCCTGATTCGCCCTCCAAAAATCAAAGTGTCTGGAGCACACCCTGCATCAGAAAAAATATCATGGTTTTTGAATTTATATTCCTGCATTTCCTCTCATTTTACAAATTATTACCGTGCGAGACAGGAGAAATTACGTCAATATATTTTTGGCATAACAAGTTATACAAAAAATTTAGCACTTCTATATGAATGATGGCTGGAAATAATGCATGTATATGTATGTAAAACCATTAAACTAAGATTCGAGATGGTTATTCGACTTGGTTATCCGATTTGAAGGAAAAGAATTTGTTCCAATTAAATTCCAGGATAACGAAGGTAATTCATATTTAGTAAAGGATTAACAAGAGTGGCGATAGAGTGATATGCACGAACAATGTTCAGACAAAGTGGCGGCATCAGCATGAATTGAACATCACTCACACATCACTGTCAAGGCTTATAATTCCCTAAATAGAACCATCTTGTCCTCTTCAACTAGCTTGGGCCCTGTTGCTGGGTCGTCTCACTCACCCAACACCTGGAATGGAAAGGATGATTTTACCTTGGTTGATTTGAGGGAACCTCATCAATGCGCAGATGCAAAAAGGAACGTGATCTCTTGCCAAATTTACCATGTGTTGAAAAGTTCCCTCCGTCTTGAAGGGGAGTGGTGGGGACACCAGTGCCGAATCTGGGTCGCTCATCATCGCTTCCCAGTGAAAAACAGCCCCATCCCAAGGAAGTTCATCACCCATGTCCACTCAGTTCTCGATTGGGTGAGGAACCCATGGAGGCAGGTTACGGGCTAGGGGAGCGGTCTATGGAGCCGCTAGAATTGGAGCAGCTGGAAAAAGAGAGGAAAACAATTAAGTATAAATAAAACCGAAGCCGTTCGCATGTTCGCGTCTGGTGACAGTAAAGAAACAGAAAAATACTCAGTATCAGGAAACTTGATTAGATATTGCACACACACCTCAAATTGAGTAACTCTACATGTCTCCAAATTTTAATTGGAGTTGCCTGCCTGCAATCGGACAAAGCTCATTTAATTTTTTTAATTGATAGGAATACCTATTTACTTTTCGTCGAATCTCCTGCCGACATTTAACTAACGGTCGAAAACGAATTCCGAAAGTCCTCTTTAAAACCCTTTTTCAAAGTTCGATTGCAGGTAAAATTAAAGGCTTGTCCTTAAATTCAGTGCTCAATTAAGAAGGTGAACCTAGACATTCCACTAACTTCTTAGGTAACCCAGACGATTTTAGCCCCACCTATATCAAGAACCGAGAGAGAAATCCAGTACGGACGTGGCTGGACTAGAACATGCAGAAAAATCGACTTGATCCCGGACAAGTGCAATTCGCTGTGTGTGACACTCCCTCGTCATTTCCCGTAATCAGTTACGCTTTGTGACAACGAAAGGTGGACGGGTTATAACGGCGTATCACAGCTGGGAAGAACAAGTTTCTTACCGTCGATGGGCTGGCGCAGAGGAAAAGCGGGTGGAAGCGTCAGGAATCCAACGAAAGCGAGAATGAAAGGCGGTGGTCCCTCCTCCACCCCCTCCGTCCCGCCCGCGTGCGTGGCCTTGATTGTCACCTTTCCTCTGACCTTCCCTCCTTCCGAATCGAAGGGAAATTGCCGCTGAGTGGTGTCGCGACATTCCCCCTCGGGGAATTCTTTTCCAGACGGAAAAAAAATCTCGGAATATACCGCTCTCGTTTTCCTTCGTTTTTTGTCCGGACTGCAAGTCTGCTTATCCCTTCCTTTTCTTTCTTTCGAGAGGGTGTCAGACGATGAACACTTCTTTAAGTCCCATGAGAGCGATGGAAACGGTCCAAAACTTCATTAACTTGATTGAACTAATTTACATATAGCTACATGAAAAACATTTAAAAAAAACGCCAATCATAAGAATGGCCACGAGTTCCATTCTTAGTAATTTTTTCTAATTGAGGAAGTCCCGCACTGACCAATAACGGCTTCGGGCACGTCAGTATCTCCCTTCCCAGTTTGCATGCATTTAATCATTTTGCATGCATCGTGCTTTAGTTTCAGTTGATTCCGGGAGCCCGCTTCGTCAACAATACATGTTCATGTTTAGGGGAATCTTGCGTCGAATGGAAAGGCTAATAGGAATGGTTAGGAACCGTGGTTTCCTAATTGTCTGAGGAAAGGTTCGTCCGGACCGACGTCATTCATGCCGATTCAAAAATTGGGAGTCATTTTGGATTCTGCGGGGGATTTAAAGAAAAGTCATTCCTTGGCCAATTCCCAGTCATCGACTGGATGCACCGCGATGCATTCTTCATTGGAAAAAAAAACTTTGCCGAAATCGACCCCGTCGTTACCAAAAGTCGTTCCGTCCTTCATGCCGAACGAAATTGGACAGATTAGAATGAAATTTTCGATGGTCTTGGGAATCGTCGAGAGGCATTGGATGATATGCACCCTATCCGTTTACATTTCAACCGATACGATAATAAACGATGGGATCCGTTAATCGGATTCCCCTAGGGCAGGGGTGTCAAACTCAAATCGGTCTCAGGGCCGCATTCCTCATCCTGCAGATGCCTTTGGGCCACACCCATACTTTTTCACAGAAATTTGTGCTAACTGTCAATCCAAGCGGAAATTTCAAGAACAGACGGCGGGTCGTGTGTGTGATTCCCCTGCCCTAAGGAACTATTACGAAAAATAAAACAATACATTTCAACTTGTTGTGATGCGTCTCTCACCTAGCAAGCCCGGAAGACCGAGGCCGCCACTCGCGACGGGGTTCATGTATCAGCTGTGGGCGTAGAGAGTCGCCTGCTTCCTGCCTTCGAGTGGAAGAGGGAATTCATCGCGGGGGGGGGGACGCGTCCCAAGGTCAGACGTCCCTTCTCGCCTCGCTTATCCATGTCGACCGTCTGCCGTGCAGCCATTCAGAGTGGCAGGCTCCTCCATCGGTTTTCCTGTCTAGTTTTCCCTCGCGCCCTCTTGGCCTCAACGCCGATCCTGACTAGACGCGGCGACCTTCTCTTGCCCTTTCCCCGGGTGAAGGCGAACTGCCCTGTCTCCCGTTCACTTCAGACTTTCCTTTTGAGGTTAAAATCGCAAAAAAGGCGAGACTCATCGCGAAACCCCTGAACATGTTAACCCCAATACAAAACCCTGCAATATTCGAAATGATCGGTACCTCTCAAGGTAGAACACTTGAAAGTTACTAAACTAACCGCAAAGAATTCACTGTTAACCCTGCGAGCAAGGAGTTGTATCAATTTTGACTTTAGAGGTGTGCACGCATTCATTAATAGAATTATAATTGGACGGAATCGGCCGGAAAGAAAACTATATTATTATTGAGAAGTGTCTTCCTCCCAGGAACCAAAGGCGATTATCATTGTATTTTTAATTACTTGGTATCCCTCATGGCTCTAACTCATCAAATAGAAAACTAATGGGAGGCTTCAATCCGCAGGTACATGCAAATGCATATAATTTTTCATTGGTATTTATTTTCGAGGAAATGGAATGGAATCCTCGGAGTCCTTCGTCCGAACAGAACCAAGTCTCTGTTTACCTGCTGTTTCGGTGGGCAGAGTACACTGTGCCCCGGGGAAACGTTCCAGCCACTTGCCTCCCCCCCCCCGCCCCGCTCACGAATCGGGAGGCAGGGCTTCGAGGATGCCATGGTGCAGCTCGTGTCCTGTTTGGCGGAGACGAGTTGCCGGTAGATGGCAGCAAGGAATTCCGTTTGCTTCGAGGACTTTCCTGAACAGGTTGCCACTCAGTCGCTCGCCTTCCCTTGCATAGCCTTGCTCCACCTTGCTCCGCCTTGCGATCTTGTTTCTCATATTTTTTTTTGGAGGGATTTAGTTAGTTGTTTTTTCTTTAATTTTTTTGGGTTAATTGTTGCCCTTAGTTTAAGTTTTGTTACTTTTTGCTGGTTTACATTTGTGTTTCTTCTTTTTTGCTGGGGTAAATTTTTGTTGTTTTTTGCTGGGTTACATTTTTGTTGTTTTTTGCTGGGTTACATTTTTGTTGTTTTTTGCTGGGTTACATTTTTGTTGTTTTTTGCTGGGTTACATTTTTGTTGTTTTTAGCTGGGTTACATTTTTGTTGTTTTTTGCTGGGTTACATTTTTGTTATTCCTTTGTTGCTACTTTACAGTTGTTACTTTTTTGCTAGTTTACATAGTCATCAGTTTGTTTTAGAGTTTTTCCGTATTTTTGCTGGGATATTGGGATTTTTTTCTCTTTTTTTTGTAATTTCCGTTGGAGGTTTTCTCTTGTCTTGTCACCCTCCATTTTTTTTTCGAGAAACCCCATTTTCCTCCTCTTGCCGCCCTGTTGAAGGTAAGAATTTTATTTTCCTGTTGCATTATAAGTTCTTGCCATAACGATACGGCCACCCTTTGTTGCGATATGTAGTGCAATCTCCCCTCATTTCATGATACTGGCGTGTCTGAAATCATCTGAGCTTTTGTGATTCCCAAGAAAGAAGCGGAATGTCTGTCTTCTCATTGACCGGTCCCGAGAGAGAGGGAGAAAAAAAGCTTTACGTTAAATTGAGCAAATAAATAAATATCGCCGGAACAGCCCGTTTATACGGTAATTTGAGGATGGCCAAATCATTATGGCAGGGTTCTACAGGTTTAAATAAAACGAAGAAAATAAATTATTTGCACAAAGAATGTCTCACGTTTAACATTCCAAGTTTGATTTCGATCGAACTGGAGGTTATGCCATTGCAGGAGAATCGGTGAAAAAGTTGGTACTGCCTATTTTCTTGCAAAATAGGGTAGTAAAAAAAAGCTGTAATTTGTCCGTTGTCAGTCCGATTGTAGACTGGCTATTCAGACGAAGTTTGAGGTAGATAAGTTGACTCAATTCAGGTGTGAGTGCTACATTTCGAATGGAATGAGGATTTTATGAATGGTATTTATTTTAGTTCGAAAGACAAAAAGCGTTCATCTGCTCATGAGGTCGGAGAGAGTCGCTCCGACCGAGAATGTTGCCTGGAATCGATTCTAAGACAATATCAGGAGCGAAATATCGGCATATAGGAAAAACCTGCGCATTTATATGGAGATTTTCGCGAGCGCCCAAAAAATTGGCTGAATCTCCTTTACATCGATTCAAGGGGTGATTCATTAATTTAAGACCCCAGTACCTTTCTTGCGGTACTTGATCCATTTCCACAAAGAACGTAAAGGAAGGCATTCGAATTTCTGAAATCATTTGTTTAAACGGGTCAAGAAGTCCGATGAGACTCCTGTTAATCGTGAAGGAGGCAAGGTTCAAATCGGGCTTCACTCAATAAGGCGAGGATGAGGATGGATTCTTTCGATTGTGGGGGCTGCGTTTGGTTCCCCTTCGAGGGGAGGTTCAGATGTGATGAAATATATAATTATCCGAGTTTTATCGACAAGCGCTTCCATATCGGATGATGAGCCTCAGGGATGAGTGAATTCATAATGAGGCTCAAATCCCACATTAAATTTGAATTCCTCAAAATATGAGAATCGAGTGATGTACTTCTCCCTGGAGAACTTCAAGCCCGACCGAGAGAGACTCGGTGGCATGGTCCCCTGTAGGAGAGCTGAACAATTACGTACGGAAATACAATCTCAATCAAAGCCTCCTTGAATCGTCTGAATGTCATGCTAAATGTTAGCATTTGACGTTGGCCCAAAGTGGGGCCATGGGACAAGTCTACCTTGGCCCAACGCTGAAAACCAATGTTGGACCCATATCGTCAATGTTGAATTCCAACGTAGACCCCACGTGTGCGTCCTGCCGGGGTGAACGCCTAAATTCCGAGGGGTTTTCTTTTTAACCCTTTCAGACCTGGCGTCCATTCCAATGGACATTGCATTTACATTGTGTCTATGGCAATTTGGATTCTCGTGACTTTGCGCTCCATATTACGCTACAATGAGCACAATTATGCATGGCTCAGTTCCACCAGAGGCCTTTTCTCACCCATTAGTTTTGTAATATTCAGTTATTTAATTAAATGCTTAAAATATATGGTCTGATATGGTAAATGTATACAAAATATGAAAACAATACTTTTTAAAGATGAGAGCAATTTCAAAAGCAAATAAATTTTTTTTAATGCATGCCGCACCTTTTTATTCCGACCCCAACTCACAATTTCTGCCGTTGCCTTTAAGGCAAAAAAAAAGTTTCCATTACCAGTTTTTTTTCGTAATACTTGGTAAGAGCAATAAAAAAATGAATTGAATATGCCAAAAAACTGGCAAATTTGACGTAGCTTTATTTCATTCAGTATCGCCTCGAGGAAAAAGTATTTGAAATAATTTGAAAAGTCTAACGCTTTTAAAGAATGGTATTCGCTACGTTCGTTTTAGGTCGAAAAAGTTTTCGGCCCACATGAGGATGAGGAGACGCCCCTTTTCTTAAATGACATATGAAACATGCAAATTTAAATTACAATTGCAAAAGAGCTCAAAAATACAAAAAAAACGATAATGAAGTACGTCCGGCATTATTCCAATACCGGGCTTAATTCAGGTCTGAAATTATGTTCTAGATTCTCTTCAAAGCAGAAATGAAGAAACGGGTCGATGCGTGGCAGGCCCCAGTTGCTAACGCTCAGTGGGCAGCCGCAGCAGGTATGACTCTTACGACATATCCAGGCAAAATGAAAAAAAAAAAAACATCTTCGAAGAGTCAATTCGCAATGCGAATGACTCGTGCAGACGTGTTTCGTGAATGAAGGCATCTCGCTTTACGATGTTCCGCCTTCTTTACTTACCCTCGGGGTATGATTTTGCCCCACAGTGTGTCTTGCTTATCCTGTCTTGACTATCGTGAGGTGAAATGGAGGCAAAACGGCTTTTACATTCACCCCCTCATCCTGTTCTCCATTCATTCGCCCCTGTGTGCTCCTTCGGGCATGCGGGTGGCCTGAAGGGCTGGTATGCCTTAGAATCACTTAAAATAGGATATCCGGCGAGGAAGCGCATGTCTAATGTAACCGATCGGCATGGGTTCATTCAATGTATGGAGGTAGACCTCAAGTTGTTATTGCTATTTAGAGAGCACATCGTCTCTCGGTCCATCAAAAAATAACAATTTCAGGATATAATTTTGGAATCGGCAAGCTGAAATTCGGGGCACATCCCCCATTGAGTCGCCATATAGGGCGTGAGTCACCAATATTCATACCAATTATAACTTTTCGGTGTGTGTATGCCTGAAAACGGCAAAGAGAAAATACGTTCGTGCCACTGTGGCCATCTCTAGTGGTCAACCTTGGGTGTTTTAACGTGGATCATTCTGCTTATAGTGGCTTCACGCTCAATGAAAAATACGGAAAGTCCCTTTGCTACTCTGACAGTAACCGAATGGGTTAATGCATGTGAAATCTACCGAAAATAATTTCCCAAAAACGAACTTCAGAGATCTGAACCAATTAAACTTCACGACGGTGAAACCGATATTCATTTAGTGCGATTGACTGGGAGACCCAAATTCCATGTCGCCGTCAAGATGAATGAGAACATAGAAAATATGGCGTGAAAAGTTAGTGATCTCTTTTCTTATGATTGAACAGATTCCATAAAAAAAACTTATTTGTACAGAAAATACAATTAGGTTTCAACATTCATGGCCCACCCTGTATGTTTACTAAATTCTTTTCATGAGGTACTCGAGGAACATTAATAAAGACATGTCTTTTGTGCAGGATGTCCTCGCCGGTGACGCTTGCCCTGTCCATGCCATCGTCTCCTGAAGCTGCTTCTCCTGTTTTTCGGAGGTGAATTCCGACTTATTCTTTTCATGAGGTACTCAAAAGAAACATTGGTTAAGACAAGTCTTTTGTGCAGAAAATCTAGACGAAGCCGGCCCTACGAGAGGGTGAGGAGGAGAGAGGCCCCCTCACTCTCGCCGCTGCCTTCTCCCCGGCCGTCGCCGGATCGAGTTCCCCGGCCGTCCTCTGCTCCACCTGCCCAGTCCACCCTTACCGAGGCCGACGTACGGACCATCGTGCGGCAGGAACTTGAATGGTCTCGTGAGACCTCACCCTCGAAAGTGATGCGAATCCATTTCATGCAATCCTAAGTTTTTGTCCCATTTCCAATGCATACACAAATGGTATCATTGCCTTGTAGTGCAAATTGTAGTCATTTGAAAGCTATGCTCACTCGTGGTAGGGAAAAACGGGAAATTCCGCAATATTCGTGAAACGGAATGTTGATTCCAAGAAGCTAATTTCCTACTTTACCTTCGGCCTCTCTCAAAGAATTAAATTGAAGCATAAGATTGAGGCACTATCTTACATCGTCGAACATTTTAATTAAAAAAAAATAGTTGAGTAGCATGTACACATGATCCTATATGGAAATGAACTTTTTGGTTTCTTTTATGGTGACCTACATATATTACTCTATTGACCGATTAGGAATGGGAAATTCATGCAACCAAAATATCGTATTCAGTTTGAAATTAGCAAACTGATGAAACAAGAATGTCGTGGTATTACCTGATTATTTGGTAGCTTCAAATGTATTCGTATATTTCAATAACTTTAGATCAGCCAGAGGACGGAGATGAGGGGGGAAGGAGGCAACGCTACAACTTCCGCAACCTGCCCCGCAAGAGTTACCATGAGATTGGGAGGCACTGTGTGCAGAAGCGCCGCAGGCGCCGAAATGGTGGGTTGGAGTTTGGGCTATTAGGCTTAATGGTATATATGCACTCATCAGAAAATGTTCTCAAATTCAAGATATTTAATGACACATATGAAAATCCCAAAAGGGTCCAATCAATTCAATAGGTAGAAAATTAAATGGTAAAGATGGGGACGAAGTGCAGCAGGGGTCGACAATTTAAGGTCTATAGGCAGTTTATGAACTGCTTAGAGATGCCAGCCCACCAAGTAGACGAAGAAGAGGGAAGATATGGTTTATATTTCTTTTTTTTGTTTAAAATCTGTCCAGCCGCCGCCCGAGCTGGTGCCGCCGTCCGAGCTGGAGCTGCGGCCCTAGCTGAAGCCGCCGCTGGAGCCGACATCCGACCCCCCCCTGTCCGACCCGCCGCCATCCGACCAGCGGCCCGCCGACCCATGGCCGGTAGGTATTGAATTAAATGGTATAGATGGGGACGAAATGCAGCAGGGGTCAACAACTTAAGGTCCATAGGCATTTTATGAACGGCTTAGAGATTCCATCCAACCCACCAAGCAGAGGAAGAATAGGGAAGATATGGTTTATATTTCATTTTTTCTGTTTAAAATCTGTCCAGCCGCCGCCCGAGTTGGAGCTACGGCCCGAGCTGGAGCCACCGCTGGAGCCGCCCTCCGACCGGCCGCCCGCCGACCCATGGCCGGTAGGTATTGAACTAAATGGTATAGTTGGGGACGAAATGCAGCAGGGGTCAATAACTTAAGGTCCATAGGCATTTTATGAACGGCTTAAAGATTCCATCCAGCCCACCAAGCAGACGAAGGGAAGAGATTAGATTTATATTTCATTCATTCTGTTCAAAATCTTACTCCTTCGGGCAGATCAACACCACAATAAATAACCCGACATTCTTTCGATCTGTGCTAATAAGTTTTAAAATTACTAATAAGTTGTCCGCCCCTGAAGCGGTAGTATAATATGTTGAATTACTTTCAAATTATTCATTTTCAGACCGCTCTCCTCCAAGACGAGGCCCCGTGGCCTGCCGGAGACCTCTGGACTCCCGTCCTCCTTGGAGGCCATAGGTATCTCAATCTTTCGACGTTCCATTCACGAGTTCAATATCTCCTATTTTGCTTCAGCTAAATTCATTATTTCATCATTTGTGCCCTCGTAGCATTCTGCGAAATGTCAAGTATTAGTAATTAAAGAGGTGCATGTGGAATTTATCTATTAATATGTCTCAATTTTTACATTTCAACAAGGAATTGGATAATTTAGAGCGAATTTTTAATGGTAAAGAGATGCTACGTATTCCTTTCATTCCTCATGTCATTTCGTTTGCTCACGTGAGTAATTTCATATCCGAAGATTTACATGTGATCCAGGTTTTAACTTTTTTTCCCTATTAGGTTTTTTCTTTTTCATAGAAAATTCTCGCAGTGGCGGATTTGACATCCAATGACGTGGACCTTCTCTAGTAACCGACGTCAAATGAAGAGTGAATTTCTGCAGATCCGTCTTGCAGTAATTAATACCCAATAGTTGGCAGTGCTCTTGGACTTCAGCTTGTTTGGTTGCGAATGGGAAAATATTTTTGCTAGGATCAACAGATTTCATTCCAAGGAGTTGAATTGAGGATTGCTATGCATGCGCTGCCTCATACTGGATATCCGTTGGATACAAAATCTGTTCCTTCTACTTTGCTGGCCATGAGTTTATTATTTTGAACATTTCCGAAGAAAGTTGGCGAGCGATTATGGATATGCTGAAAAAGTGTAATAATGTACAAAAAAATATATCCAATTCATCCCATTTATAAATGGCAAGAAACTCGTTCTCTGAGCAATTGCTTCTGTCGGACTTACTAGTTGCCCAAAATATAGGAAATATATGAATATGTAAGGAAGGGATGTTCATAGTAATTGATTTGCTTGCTGTTGCAGGTTCCTGAGTTCCCAGACCCCCTGGCCTCCGCAACATGAAATGACATTTGGCCCGTCGGTCACCCCTTGCTGTATGGCAATAATGAAGTTTTTTTTTTAGCAGTTACTTACTGGGCATACTCTCCTATTGTGCCTCACTGGTATTAGGGCTCGAGGTGTTCCTTGCATATTACGTAGACTCGAGAGCTTTCCTCTGATCTGGATGGGAAGCTCTCCCGAAGCGAAGGTCGCCTGGTGGTCTTGGCTGCTCTCATGGTCCTGCTCTGCAGGAGAGACACCCTTCGCCTGCCACAGGAACACCTCTATTGAATAAGATCCACGAGTTCAAATCCTGCTGCACGATGGTCCTCGGGTCAGAAATCAAAATCAACAGAAGGGTGGACTGAGCAGGTGAACTCTGTGCATGAGCCCCACGGATATTTAGGCTGCAAATACCTTAAGCATGCAATGATCAAATACCTTAAGCATGCAATGATCTTTCAAATTCATTCTTGCGAAGGAGTGCCTCTGTCGACTCTTCATATATTAGGATATCATGTGAGGCGCAGCCCAACCTGGAGCCGCCATCCGATCAGCGGCCCGCAGACCCATGGCCGGTAGGTATTGAACTAAATGGTACAGATGGGGAAAAAGTGTAGCAGGGGTTGTCAACTTAAGGTCCGTAGGCAGTTTATGAACTGCGACGAGATTCCATACAACCTACTAAGCAGACCAAGAAGGGAGATTTGGTTTATACCGTACTTCATTCATTCCGTTCAAAATCTCTTCTCGGGGTCTATCAACACAAAAATAATATTTTTCGTACGGACATTGCTCCCATCTGTGTGTATCAGGCCTGCAATTCCTGAGAAGTTCCCAGCCACAGAAGCGTAGTGCAATATATAAAATTACTTTTAAAGGGTTTTATTTTCAGGACGCCCTCCAAGACGACCTCGAGCGGCCGTTAGTCCCGTTGCGCAAGACCCGAGGCCGTTCGACCAGCAACCGTGAGACAAGCAGCCGTTCGATAGAGATACTCAGAAGGAACATTAGTTAAGACATGTATTTTATTCATGCTCTCGAGACGTAACCAACCCTATGAAGAGGTGAGAAGGAGGGAGGCCCCATGAAGTCCCCTGCCCTCGTCTGTTCCCTCCGCCTAGTTCACCCCAACGTCGATCTCCCGACGTACGGACTATCGTGCGGAAGGAACTTCAAAATTTCTTCGGGGCAGCTTTTCAACGTTTGTGTTCCAGCTATAGGGAGCGAAGAGTCTCTCTTCTGAGAAGGAGGCCCAACAGGGCTGCCACGACCACCACTACGGGTAGGAGTTTGGCACTCGAATATGCCTGTCCATTCCTTCCATCTTAAGAGCTTTTGGGCTGAATATGAGGAATATCGCATATCTCTTTAAATATTCGCAGTGCAGACGTTGCAGGATTGCCAGACCGGAGCATGACCTATCCGTGAGTCAACTTTTTGTTGGAACCAAATTTGCGGCATTCTCCCGTTGTGCTGTTGCATAGTTTTTAATTTCACTCTTTGATCGCTCATTCTGTCGTGCTCATGTGGGTCACGCTCCCAATTCGTAGTTGCCTATAATAATTAACAATATTTCCACAGAAATATCTAGAACTTCAATGTGACTGAAATTCCTCGAACCGTAAATGTTATGGTGCATTATGGTTTGTCAGAATCATATTTCAACATTTGGAAATGGAGAGAATGAAAACCTCATTGTATTGAAATAAAATGAAACCACCATGAACATTCACAGCATACGTTAAGGGTCCTGCCCCTTTTAAACACCAACTAGCTACCTGCGGTCGTTACGCTGGTCATCTAATGGGCGAAAAACTGAAAACGTTTACATAGAGAGTGTCGCGAGCACAAAAGAGTGTCGGGCCATGGAATGGCCCATAGCATACGCTAGGATCGCTTGATCCGGAACCACGTCAGGTTGACCAACCTATTACATTGATGGATCAGTATATGGAACCGATGGAGTCATCCGATTCGTATCAATTTTCATCGCAGGTATAGTAAAACACGATACCACAGGGAAAATTGCAAAATGGAGTTACTTTAGATTCAAAATGAAAAAAGTGCCAAAGGAGATGAAATAATTCGTGTATTTCAATAGCTTTAGATCAGCCGGAGGATGGGGAGGAGGAGGCAGCAGCGTCAGATAGTAACACTATAACCTCCGCAACCTTCCCGCATGAGCGGGGAAGGCACTGTGTCCAGAAGCGCCGCGGGCGCCGAAATGGTGGATGGGGTTGGAGTTGGTGCTATAAGGCTTGATGGCATATATGCACTCATCAGAAAATGCTCTCAAATTCAGGTTGATAGGAAATATTCAAATTCGAAAAGGGTCCAAACAATTCAATAGGTATTAAACTAAATGGTAAAGTTGGGGACGAAGTGCAGCAGCGGTCGACAACTTAGTGATCTCTGTTTTGATGGAACAGATTCCATGAACTTGTTTGTACAGAAAATACAATTCGGTTTGAACATTCATGGCCTACCCTGTATGTTTACTAAATTATTTTCATGAGGTACTCAAGGAGCATTGGTAAAGACATATCTTTCGTGCAGGATGCCCACGCCGGTGGCTCGTCACCTGCCTGAACCTTTTTCTCCTGTTTTTCGGAGGTGAATTCCGACTTATCCTTCTCATGAGGTACTCAAAAGAAACATTGGTTAACACAAGTCCTTTGTGCAGAAAGTCTAAACGAAGCCGGCCCTACGAGAGAGTGAGGAGGAGAGAGGCCCCCTTGCTCTCGCCGTTGCCTTCTCCCCGGCCGTCGCCTGTGTCTACTTCCCTGTGACTGTCTACTACTGTGACTGACCTGATTTTTTCGCTTCTGCCTAGGGAAAAATGACGGAATCCCCAGTTTTTCGAAGGTATGTCCCATTTCCTTCCTTGAGGTGCTCCTGCTGGGAACTTTGCCCGAGTTGTATGTCTTTCGTGCAGGCGAGCGAGAAGGCCTCACCCGTACGCGGGAGTTCGGGTGCCTCCGGCTCCCTCCTCTGATTACCCGGTCAGTATATCAGTATCTGACCTGCGGGCGTTCGGGTGCCTCCGGCTCCCTCCTCTGATTGCCCGGTCAGTATATCAGTATCTGACCTGCGGGCAATGGTTGGAGAAGAGATAGATGCCCGCCTGTTCGTCCCCTCTTATTATTTCGTGAATTGCTCATGTTTTAAACTTTGCCTGAGTGTCTGCTGTCTTTTGTGCAGAATTTTGCGACGACCTCACCCGGTCCGTAGGGACAGGGCGGCTCCCGACGAGTCAGTACGACATCATCTCAGTCTCCAACCTGCGGACAGTGGTAGCTGAGGAATTGGACCTCCCCAAGCTTCTCTTCCTTCGCGAAAGATGTCCATACGGAGGTGGGACCAATCCCACCAGGCGGGAACCTCCTTCCCTGGAGCCCTCTACCATTGGAACACCAATGGATTTGGATGGGGATACCTTCGAACAGCCCCAGACCCACCCGCCCAGTAAGACTTATTTTTTCTTCCTTTGCATGGGTTAGTCAAAATGTCAACCGTATTTTCAACGGTTATGCGAACCCACTTGATACCTTCAATCGGAGCTTCAGTCAGATGCAGCGCATACGCCGTTATTCCATCTTCGCAATCTGTACTGTGCTTGCATTAATCGCTTATATTACATTTGATTCAACCCTGATCTACGGTATTTCTTTTGCCGAAGATGAAGCTACTGCGTTTCCTGTTTTTTCAGGGTGCCGAGTTCGATGAAGGGGCTTCATGAGTAAAGCAGGGTTCGATAAAGTTTAAGAAGTGAAGCACTACTCTATTCATGTTTGCATGTACCTGATTAAAATGATTCGATCTGACGCAACTCGTCAATACCACCGCTTTTCTAAATCTGCGGAATTCGGTTACCCATGGCAACTCCAACTCCTCCTCTCAAATAGACCACCCGACACTTCCACAAGTCGGTCCGCATTTGCATAAGCAAATACCGGTATCATTGAATAATTATGCATACCATCCTGTAAGAAATGCTACCGGGGATTTTCAGGTATACCTTCATTTGTTACTCTATGTCCAATGAGTAATGCACCTCAGTTCATCCAATTATTACGATGTGATGAATAGATAAACTGAGGTGTATAAGAGGCCTAAACCCATAGTCTCGTACTCTGGAATCCGTCTTAGGCAGGTCCCTGGCCTACGACTATGTGTTTTGCCTAAGTCCAACAGGTTGGATGCAGGCTCACTTTCAATGTGATGGACCGAGATATACATTACACGACGATACACTTCTCGATCGTGACATGCATCACGAGTTTAGCCTTCATTTTGTCGATACTGCAGAGTCTGGACATGTGATCGACCAGCGCAGCCTGGTGTCTGTGTGCAATAAGCCAATGTGCAATGAGAGCAGCCATTCAAATAAATTTTTTTTCTGTCTGTTAATTCCATTCGTGGGCACACCCCAACCAATTCTGTTGCACAGTTCATTCAAGAAAATGTGCGCCGCACCCCCTCCGTTGCAATCTCGGAAAGCGAATCGGACCCTAGTAATTATGCAAACACCGGAAGCCGCCCTTGCCACTTCTCCCAGACAAAAACACCCATCGGAATAAATTCCAGCCATTACGAAGGAACCAGCGAGGAAACTCGCGGTAAAAACAAAAGGGTTCACAGAGCGTCACCCACTTTCCGAGTGTTTTAGCTGCAGCTGAGAGCGTCCAACGCGACGTGACAAGCTAAGCACTAATAAATACAACATCCCAAATAACTTTGACAAACAGAACACGTGTTCCTATTTGTCTCACCAATACGTTCACTACTTCAGGAATTACCAAAACGGCGCCTTTTTCTGCCCCATGGTGCGCAGATTGAGTAAAAGTTGTAATTTTCTTGAGCTAATTTTGACCAAAACCGACCGAGTTGCTCAGCGAGCCTATGGAGTCTAGGGATGGGAAATTCATCCACCAAGCATATCATATTTAGTTTTAAATTGAGAAACTGATTAAACAAGTGCCTCATGGTATTTCCTAGTTATTTGGTAGCTTCAAATAAATTCATATATTTAAATTGTGGAGACCAGCCAGAGGAGAGAGAGAAGAAGGGGGAAGCGGCAGAGGCAGCAGCATTATAACTTCCGCAACATCCCTCGCAAGAGCTATTATGAGCGGGAGAGGCACTGTGTCCAGAAGCGCCGCAGGCGCCGAAATGGTGGGTTGAGTTTGTGCTTTTAGGCTTAATTGGCATACATGGACTCATCAGAAAATACTCTCAAATTCAAGTTAATAACCCATATTCAAATTCCAAAAGGGTCCAATTAATTC